TTTTTTTCTTTTCCATCTTTTAAATATGGTTTTGTTATCGTTATTAAATGTTTTTAACTTACTTATTAAGATTTATAGTGACGATTGTTTGCCAGGCCAAACATCCAATTAAAATTCCAATTAAGCCACTACTAAGGCACTGGGGTCAATTTTTTATATGCAGGCAAAAGAAGTTTCAATGTCTTCTGGATGGTTTATTTTCTATTTTTGCCAACAATTAATAAATACAACCTTTTTCTTTTATCCTACCTCTCTTGCACTGGTAAAAACAAACAAACAAACAAAAAAACATAGGCCCCAAACTTAAAATGCCTGCTGTTCTTTTCCCATCCACGTCACTTCCTGTCATACCTCAGAACAAAAAACAAATAAATAAGAAAAATAATAAAACAAGGATAAATAAAATCAACAATTATTAACCTGCAAATAAACTCTGTATATTGTATTTAAACTGTGAATAATAATTTAGGAACAATAATTTAGGAATTAACACATTTAAAATGGATTAGGACATAATTATAAATACCTCAAACAAGATTTATTACTTCTGCTCCTTTGCTGCTAATGTTTAAAAGCAAAATAGATAATTCTGTAACGTAATAAACTGGAGAAGCAAAATTTCCGAGCTACCTGAAATGCATCACCATCATCATCATCAGCTGTGGTCAAGAGAAGCAGATGGAGGCGGGGCCACAGGATGGCAGGCAGGCGGTTCCGCTATCTGCTGCCTGACAACACCGGGACGCTGCTGGGGCCAAGTGCTAGATTTTCTGCATTGCTTTGACACTTATCTATCTTTCTAGGAGCCCACAATGTTGCCGGACAATGAAGTTTGCCTGGAGTTTAAAGAATAGCTTCGGGACATGAAGTTTAACAGGCTAACGGTAGATTCCTCCAGCAGCTAGCAGCTTCTTTTATATGATCATAATTAGCTCACCAGAGACAGGAGGCTTCACTCTTTTAGTTTTTCCCGTAAATAAAGGACACGGTGAGAGTTACCAGTGTTGTTTTTTTGTTCTTGTTTGGTCAAGATAGCAATGCGGACGACATTGTTTGTGGTCAGCTCCCTGGCTTCGGATTACTGCACTCCATGGAGCTTCTGCGGCGTCACTCATCGCGTTCCCCACAATGACTGACCGTGATGGAAATGTCAAGGTTCAGCTGGGCCAGATGAAATCACTAGGCGAGGATGCAGGGAAGGAGGAAACGGATCCAGAGGAGGAGATGCCCGCTTCTTCTCCCTCTGCTTCACCAGACCCATCCAGCTGCATCACCTCCACAGGGACGGATGCGTCTGTTTGCAAACAGAGGGGGGAAAAAAGCAGCAAGGATTCCAGTGGAAAGCCTTTGCAGGGGGTTGCAGTTCCTGCGTATGCTGTAAAGAACTTTAACAGCCCTGTTTGCGAGCAAACACTGCATATCAAGGGGACAGGGAAGATCCTGCAGGGGAAGTCTCAGAGTAACGGGAACTATTTAGGCCTCCATGAATCCAGGAACACACAGGAAACACGCTGCGAGGATGGATGCAAGCTTCCCAGGAAGAGAAGACCTGTGACGGTGGATACATCTAAAGCCAAAACCTCCCTGGAAGCCCTGAAGATTAGCATCAAGGAGCTGAAGTGGAAAGAGGTGCTGTTGGAAAAATATTATGTTTTTTCTGTCCATGTGCTGTGCAGGTTTTAAGTCTCTGCAGAAACTTGTGAATTAGGGAAGACATGTGGCAGCTTCTGTTCTTAATTGAATTATAACCAGCTCCTAATAATAATTGAACTTTATTCATCTTGCATTGGAGAAATTTACCTCTCCATTTAACCCATCCCCTTTTGGAGCAGAAGGCTGCCATTGTTGGGCGCCCAGGGAGCAATCAGGGGTTAAGGGTAGTGTTGCGCCGATACCAGTATTGGGCAGGGCCCTGATACTGCACTAAAATATCAGTGTCGGCGAGTACCGACAAATCGGGCGCCGATACTATTTTGAGAGTCAAAGGTTTATTCAACTATTGTCACCCATTCCAGGTAGGCGATAAAAAGTTCTACAGGATTCACTTTGTATTTGTCTTTTTCCTGCTTTATAAAGGTAAGCAGCAGCTTTCCATGATTGTAACTATTTTACATCCAAGTTGTATGCAGTTCTTCATATATTCAGACACACACATCAATTTCAAACAGATGGTCTGGTATCGGCCAATACTGCACAGCCAGGTATCAGGTATTGGGGCCAAAAAAGGCATTGGTGCAACACTACTGAAGGGTCTTGCTCAAAGACCCAGAGACAGTCTGTGGGAGTGGGTTTGTTGCTGTTTTTTTTTTTTTTTAAGATAAATTTTGAAAACAGTGTTATTTGCTCCTTTGTCTGCACTTTTTTTTTTTGAGTAACAAAAAAAAAAACGTACTTCCCTCTTCTTAAGGGCATTGCCTTGAACTTCTTTACAAAATGAAGCTTGATCCAACAAAACAATTATTTACTTAGATCCACCTTCCTTCCCATCATCTCTACTAACCTGTTCCATTCTTCGAAGCATGATGCTCCCCATTGGATTTTGTGTTCATGCTCTTTTGCGTTAGTTTCAGCCTCACCTTAGAGCACCTTCTTGCACATTTTCTATTATTTTTTCCACTATATCGTTCTTCTTTTCCATAAAGTCCAGATTTGGCAAGGCCAATCTATCTGCAGTTTCTCCCATCTGGTGTACATGGAGGTAACCCTTCTTCTCACCTCTGAATCATTTTCTTGTTCCCACACCTTTGCTAGGTTTGCAGTTGTGCTTTTACAAAAAAGCTGGAATTATTCAGAGAAGAAACCTTTTAGTTGCAGCCGTTAGTATAATTGTCCTTCCTTTTAAGTTCCTGATAATGACTCAGATGAAACTGAGATTTTATTTCACCTATTTTATCATGTGACAAAACCCTGAGACAGCTGCTTCCTCCTTTTTTGTTTTTTCCAAGATCCTTTTTCAGTTTTCCTCCTAAAAGCTGGTAAGTACACCACCTCCATTATTCATAGAACGATTGTCTCCTCCATGAGATGGAAAGCAGAGGCCGCAGTTATCAACACTGACCAAACGGTGACACTTGAACCGTGTTAGGTCCGGTATCCATAACGATTGACACAATGCTGACGCGTGGCAACACTTTGTCAGCGCAACGCACCCCCAACTTAGTGAACTGCTGTCACCGCCGAAGGCCTTGTCATCATCCTTTGAAGGGGTTGAAACTTTAGCAGCTCGGCTCTGTTTGTTCACCCATTCTGAAATAAGCATGAAGAGGATGGATTCTGTAACATTGATTGCATCTTGACAGAGTACGAGTTACAGAGCTAAAACAACTGTTTCTACATCTGCCTGCTGATTTTCCACTAATGGCTTTCTCTTGCACAGAGAGAAATCACTAGCCTTAAGCTCTCCTAATCCAATAAAGTTTGAGTCCTCTTCGAGGCAGAGATAGCAGGAGCCAGAGGGTCTGGGTTGCAGAAATGCATATAATCTTTGGCTCTATTGTCATTTTTTTTTGTGTTTAAAAAAAGTTTTGGAGTCTCTGAAAGACCAAACATTTAAGAATGTTTTGCGCTACATGACTTTTGAAACCTGGGGAAAAAACGTATAAATCAAGAAATGTTTTCCTGAACTTTGAAGGAAAGGGGAATCTAAATGGATAAAGAGATTTAAGAATTTAGCAACAAATGGACTTCAAAAAAAGAAAGCTGTGTCAGGATATAATACCAAGAAACTACTCCAAATAATCCCCCTTCCCTTCCCTTTGCACACTTGCATGCGTGCAGCAGTATTTATAGCAGGTCTTTGCAGTCATGCAGGGTTCCCTTTTACACCGTGTCACGCAGCTGTCATCAACACGATGCTGCTCTAGTCCAGGTTTATCCTTCTGCCAGCCAGAAGAGGGTTGGGTGTCACACGTTTGAGATGCAGATAAATTAGACCTCCCTCACATCCTACTAAGCACAGAGAGCTGAGCAGAGCAATGGTTGATTGACAGATTACTGACAAATATTATTTAATTCTATGTACAGGAAACAGGACAGGAAACTTGTAATTGGCTAAAACCTTTGAAGATTTCACAAAGTGAGAAATTACATTTTTATTGATGACATTTTATAGAGCATCTTGAAAGCACCTTGAGAGCTTCTGGTAGCTTGTAACAGCTTGGAGACCCCGGCCCTAAACTCACAGGCCCCATGATGAGACATGGTAGTGGCAGCATCATGCTTCTTGGGATGATAGAGAAGCTTCCCTAAACCAGATGTAACTAGCTTGGTTTTGCTGAGTGCCAACTTAAATCTCTCATTCCTTCCGCTTCTATTTTATACCTTCAAGTTTGTTTTTTCAACATAAAACATGTGAATAAAGTATCAACACCTTTGCCATGCAGAGTTGGCGGGAAAAAAGTGGGTTCAAGACACCAATCAGCCATAACTTACAGATATAGTGAAACATCTTGATATATACTTGAACCTCTTGGAATGGACATAAGCATGATTCTGTCGCCCTACCCAAACTTGTTTCTATTCTTATCAGTTTCCCTGTTTGTTGTGGGAATCTAATAATCTGTTCTTCCTTGCGCCTCCCTCTTCCTCTCCTCAGTTTCCTTTGGGGAGACGTGCAGCCTGCGATATCTACTGGCACGGTGTTTCCTTCCATGACAACGAAAACATTGTGTCAGGACAAGTCAACAAGTTTCCAGGTATTTTAGTCTATACACTTTCTTCCTCTACTGTCTACCCAACATTACTTTTATCATTGTAGTTACAGCTGAGAGTTTATAAACGAAGCAAACTATGGATGAAGGCTAGTGTTTGTTCCTCTAGTTATTTTGTTGTAGAAGCTTGGGGAGCACAACAGTTCATGAAACGATTCAATTTGATTTATACCCTAAATTATGTCTAAATTGGAGTATTTTGGTAAATCAAATTTACTTCCAGCTTTAGTTTTGACCTTTTGGTTTTTACTGAACAATTCAATCCCCTTGCATTAAAAGGATGATGAAAGCTGCTTTTGAATATACCATTTCCACAAGTGGCATCTTGTGGCTTGCTTCATGCAAATCCCTGTTAAATGGAGTACAGCAAGCTAAACATGTGCTAGCATACATTTCCTATACAATAAATCTCACTTAAGTTTTTTCTATTGTCACTTAAATGTATTAATTTGTTAGATCATTTAGGATTGTAATTAATAATCCATGACTTCCTGTTTCCCTCTAGCATATGAAAGTCAGGATGCATGAGCCCATTCCTACCTGCCACTCTTTAAAAGACAACAGAAGATGGCATTCAGACAGATATGTGTTGTTCTTCTTAAATTGGAATATAAAAGAAAATGGCTGCCTGTCTGAACTTGCCTAAATGCACACTCAGAGCAATCATTAGAACAGCTGGAACTCCTTACAGAAAAGGCTGGATATGGACCGGCATTAAGCAGGAATGAACTTTTGAACTGCTGTAAAATATGTTGTGAAGATTTGATTTTGAAGGGCCAGCTTTCCTTCCTAAGAACATGTGAACCTTTGTGTGTCTTAAAAAGCTGGAACAAACCAAACAGGAGTTTTTCTTTTAGAAACATTCGATTGTCTGTTCTAGGAAAAACCTAATGGGCTGTCATTGGCTTCTTTAGTAACATAAAGTACCAAAAACAGGGGTGCCAGTAAGGCTGTGGGGTGCAATGAGCTGCAGGTTATCTCAGTTTCGCAGAACGATCTGTAAATGGTGTCTTTGCAGGAATGGTAGAAATGCTGAGGAAGATCAACTTGAGTAGAGCGGTGCGTACTATGCAAGATCTCTTCCCAGAGGAATACGACTTCTATCCGCGTTCCTGGATCCTGCCCGAGGAATACCAGCAGTTTTCTGCCCAGGTACTGTTCCTGCTCCTCATAAGAAAAACAACCAGGTGAAAGGTTTATAGGTGTCGTTCTGAAATGCAAAGTTTTTATAATGTTTTATATATGGGATATTCATTCATATTTGATTTACCTAAAAATAATTAAAAATAATAACCTAGATCAGTGCAGATCTCTGTAGCCATTTCTCAGCCTTATTTAGATTTGTGTTAAAAGTTCAGTTCTGTTTTAGAGTCGTCCCTTTAGAGGAAGTTTTAAGAATGTGTAGAAAAAATATTACACTACCCTTGCTTTCTTCAATTTCTTTGTCTAAGATATATTATCTAAATAATACAAGGAACAGGACAAAGAGAACGGGGGGTGGTCTAATTATTCTTTTAATGACTCCATACTTAGCCAGCATTCGTTAATCTTGATCTCAGGGAAATTTAAAAAACTGGACATTTCTCCAAAACTGTTTCAAAATTGAGTCAGACAGGGATTTAGACAAAATAAAATCACAAAACATCACATTGTCCTTTTTTATACTTGCAGAGAAAAGCAGAACTTGCACATACTTATTTTTGTGTTAAGCTAAAAAATGACATTTAAAAAAATTATCAAAACTTTTGAGCAGGTAAATAAGATGATCTGCCAATGGAATTAATATTTTCACTCTCAAAAGAAGCTCTACACAAGTAAATACCTTTAATTTCAAGAACAATTGTTTTAATCCTATTATATTGTTGGCAGTAAAGAGCAGGGGGGGGTAATAACATTATTTTTACAGCAGGGGGCGCCAAAATATCAATGTTTTAAATTCCAAGGCACTTAAGTTTTTTTTCCTGCCTTCCTTCAAATATTCAGAAATCTATTTAGATCTACTGTTTCTCCGTACTGCGGCAGAACAACATTACATAACATGTGATGGGATAGGAAGCCCTTTGCATGTTAACTCAGGGAAACATTTAGAAGACTGCAGTGCGGATCAAGCTTCTCTGACTCTTAATCCCACCAGGAATGAGATTAAACTAAGATTTGATTATAACTTTCTGGTTTAGCTTGCTGTACTGGACAAAGTCCAATTACGTGATTTAATGTTTTTCTGGTTAATACAAACCTTTCTCTAATTAAGAAAAGGATTAAATAAAATTTGCATTTTTTTTCTGTTCATGTGCTCCCCTGCTGCAGATCCGCATGGCGAAGGAGAGTGATACCTCAGTAAGCCCAACTTTTATTGTTAAGCCAGACGGGGGCTCTCAGGGGGACGGCATCTACCTCATCAGAGACCCCAGCGATCTAAAGCTCATGGTGGGTTCGCAGCCCAAACAGGCCGTAGTTCAGGAATACATCAATAAACCACTGCTCATCGACAAGCTGAAATTCGACATCCGCCTATATGTGCTGATAAAATCCCTGGAGCCTCTTGAGATCTACATCGCCAAAGAAGGCCTGACACGTTTCTGCACTGAACCTTACCAGGTAGCTTTTTAACACATCCTGATGGATTCGCTTTCAAGTTGATCCATTCTTAACTAAATCTTTTACTTATTCTTTTTGTTTGCAGGAGCCATGTCAGAAAAACTTGACCCATGTCTTCATGCACCTGACCAACTACTCACTCAATGTCCACAGCGGTAACTTTGTGCACTCCGACAGCCAGAGCACAGGCAGCAAGCGTACGCTTTCCAGCGTGCTCTACAGGCTGGCAGTTAAAGGCGTGGATATCAAGCGGGTCTGGTCAGACATCATCGCTCTCGTTATCAAGTCCGTCATCGCTGTGGTGCCTGAGCTTAAAGTCTACTACCAGGCTGATATTCCACCTGGGAAACCAGGACCCACATGTTTCCAGGTGGGTGTGACGGTAGTGTAGTTATTAAATAGTGACTTTCAGGCTTCTAATATTCTAATGGGGAACAAAAATAAAGCATTTAAAAGTATTGTACGTATGAATCTGTTTAAGAATCACAGAGTGTAGATTTGTTCAATGAACTGTAATCCTAAACAGTGAACATGATTAAACATGATGGCAGCAAGTGACAATCCTTAAAATGTTTGCAGATCAATCACCTTACCCAAGATGGAGTCTTTACAAAGAAATTAAAAGTGCTGGCTTCCTTAGAGTTATTTATTTATTTATTATTTTCATAATCACAAATTTGTTGCCATATTGAGATGAGAGGTCAACCCTTGAAAAGCTGTAAAGATCCATGGTTCAAGTTGGAAAATATGTGAACTATAAGCCAAATCCAGGCAAATTTGGGGATTCCAAGGGTTAAAACGTTACCCCCTAGCCATTATACCAACTCTAACACACACACAAAGCACGCAAGCAAACAAACCAACATGATGATACTAAGAAGCTAATAAAAAGGCTGGGTGCCGAGGAGGCAGAGAAAACACTTATTGCCCAGAGAGCTGCAGCTGATCACCAGCTTCCATACAGAGAGCTTCTGCAAAGGAAACACTTGAGGACATACTAATAGTTTTAGATTTAAACAAAAAGGATGAAAGGACAGTGATAAAATATCTCAATGAGTGCAACAAATCAAAATAAGAAATAAGAACCCCAATAAAGAGTGAAAAAAGTTGCACAATAATAAGTTCACATAGAATAGAAGAAGAAATAGTTGGTAAAAGCGGAGCTAAATAGGTGGGGTTTTAAGGGCTGGTTATGCTCCCACAGCAGTGTGTCGCAGTGATTTTGTTGCAGGTATGACTCAGATATTTTTGATTTATGCCCCATTTTGAGGCGTGGTCTGAGCTATGTTATTCCATGTCACAACGCAAGAGGGACAATCACAAACTAGCTGTGGGTCTAGATACGACTGAGGCGGTGAGGAAGTGGGGGCAAGTTTGTGCGACAAAGGAGGGACATGAGGGCGAAAAAGAGCAGGGATCCAGGTGGAAAAAGGGTCCCAGCGTTCTCGCACACCTCGCTCTTCTAGTTGGTCCAACTTGACGAGTCGTTTTCCACAATGGCGGTCATACAAACAAAACAAGCCGGTAAGGTACCAAACAGGCAATACGCATAGTTTAGAGCGGATGTAGGTTTGACCAATCAGAGGCTTTCTGTCTGTGTTCACCTACAATTTTGTAGAGGTGTACCAGAGCATCTGCGGAAGGGCTGGCTGGGGGCATATCTGCGTTAACTGCGACACAAACGCAGATGACCTGGTTTCTGAGAATATATCAGCATTTAGCCTTTTCTCAAATTAAAGGTGCACAGCACAAATCTGTCCTTTATGGATGAGGAGCACAAGAACAGCAATCATCTTTGTCAAAAGATCTGTAACGCACACAGCAAGCATGTGGAAGAAAGCTGAAAGGTACCCCACTCACGGAAAACCAAAACCACATACGGCACTTTCAGTGCCATTGCTTCTCTTCCAGCTATTACCTTTGAGGCTTTTATTCTTCTTTATTTTATGGATGGACTATGTTGCCTACTGCTCCTTTCCCTGGCGAGTTACGTTATGAACACATCTCATTGCATGAGTACTAACAAAGTTTCCTGAATGTCTAAAAAATGCTTCAAAAGCTTCATGTTTGTGATCATTGTTATGTTTTTTTTTTTTCTATCAGATACTAGGTTTTGACATCCTTCTGATGAAGAACCTGAAGCCGGTATTATTAGAGGTCAACTCCAACCCCAGCATGCGAATAGAACACGAGCAGGAAGTAAGACGTCAGCTTCCATCAGCATCCTCACTCTGTTATCCTCCCCCGCTTTACTAAGTGCTTGTTTTGTCTCAGGTGGCGCCGGGAGTTTTCCAGTACGTTCCCAGTCCGGTGGACGAACAGGTGAAAGTGGGGGTGATCAGGGACACGCTGCGCCTCATGGATCCCTGTAACAAGAAATCAACGGCGTAAGCATGCACACCTTAGCTTGAGCACACCCTTTGAAGTTGGATTATGTGTCAGCCCCCCCACCCCCCCACACTCTGTCTGCATGTCCACTTTAAGAACATGATATCTCACTCTGCCCACCCTCTCCTCTCTGCACCACTCAGCAGCTCTCTCTAAGCTTGTTAAATGGAAAAAATTAAATCAAGTGAGGCATGAAGGAAACTCGCACATCACTGTGTGAGTGTAGAAGCTCAATCACTCTGCTAGACTGGCTCTGTGTGATGCCTGGAAATATATCTCCCTCTTAATTAGAGAGTGACCCCCCCACCCCACCCTATACATTTCATTTTAGGAAGCAGATTTACTCTGTCTGTCTTCACTCGTCTTATGTCTTTATCTTCCCTCTGTTAGTATGATTCCATTCCTTCTGCTTTAAGTTTTATTTCTAGATTAGCGGCAATATTTGATCTTTTCTTCACATCCAAGAGAAGTGATAAATGCCCACCTAAATTTATGTTGAGCTAATTTCTGTCTGCATTCTGTTAAACATCCTTTAGTCTGACGCCCATTATCATTTATAGGTGGTCTTCTGGCCCTCAGAGGGAGATCATTTAAAGTCCTAACATTTTCCTTGCAGATTGAGCATTTACACTTCTTTTAGGACTTTTAAAGTTCAAATAAACCCTTTTCAAAGCAAATGATGTAAAACAGAATTCATCATTACAATATTTTACTGTGACAGATATTTATCTACTGTGTGGTGGGGAAAAAAGACACTATTAAAGATGGCTTTTTCATCCTAAATGTTTGTAATGTCAAAGCTAGTCGACACAAATACAAAATAGTCTTCAAATAAAGTCTTTAATATTTTTAATCTAAAGTCTGCTTTACTTTATGGGTTGGCTCAAAGGACCCAACAGAAAATGACACATCAAACTTTTCTCTACTGTTCTTGAGTTTCTTTTGTACGGCACATGATGAATGGCAATTTTAAATATTTAAACCTACTCAATGTTTCGCAACAAGTTCCTGCCAAATACATTAATGTGTTGTTATTCAGGTCATATACGTGAACTGATTAAATGTGAAGAACAAAGACGAAAAACATGATTTTAACTTTTTTGACATTAGGCTTGGATTGAATGTTAAACATGCTCAGACAAGAATCAATCTGTTCAGCCAGCTGTTTATCAACAAACCCTAAATCTTTATGAACCATTAAAGCTTGGCTTCAGTGGCGTAGAATGCGGCAGTTATTCCCATAACCAGAAGTTTGCCGGTTTGAACCCCAGGTCTGTTATTCTGTAAGACAGGACAGCTGCACTGCTTACTGATGGTGGCACCTGTGTAAAGCAGCCTGGCTTATGTCTGTGAGCCTGAGAGTAGCTGTGGCTACAGTGTAGCTAGCCCTGATCAGCGTGTGAAAGAGTGAATGACCGTTTCCCAATTCACAAGTTTGTGAGTACGGAGTATCGTCCTCGCCAAGTATGTTCTTACCAGGAAAGTCTGGACTTGGGGAAAACGGGAGCATGCACCATAAATATGGGTCAAACAGAAGCGTACTTGTGACATCACGACACACTCGGCTTGTCTGTAGCTGCATTTCACCTCCTTTTATTAATAGTCAGTAGATAATGAAATTCTTACCTTTTTCTTTTAGTAGGGGAATAATAATTAACACAGTCAGATAAACAGAAATCAAATTAACACGGCTATGCTGAGAGAGGGCTGCAGAGGACCGCTGGTTTCTACGTTTCTCTCGACATCAAAAAATGGGCCAAATATGGGCGCTTTAAAGTGTAACATCCTCACCTAAAATGATCTTAAAAATGTACTTTTATAGAACAACGGCAACAGAAAAGTGAACTTTTAACTTAATACTCTGAGCTGAGTTCCATACATGTAAGTGTTGGGAATAAAGATTCCATACTTAAACATTTGCAACAGTAAGAGTACCAATTCCAAATTTTGGAGTATAAATCCACGTGCCCTGATGAGTTTGTTTTCCCTTGGCAAAGGGAATTTATAGCAGCCTCTTTTAGCTCGTTGCTTTTTTGTTTGCTTTATATAGTGGGGCAAAACTCCAGTTTTCTTGACTCTCATTCAAAGGATGATCTGCTCGAAAATCTTAAGGACCTTAATTTATTTAAAGTCTGATTTACCTTGATGCTGGTAAATAGGCAATGCTTAGTTTGGATTAATAGATTACTTTTTGTTTATTTTGAATTCTCTGCTGAGCCTTCATCACCGAACCATTGACCAAGAATATAAATAATAATTAAACTTTATTGATCTGACATTAGAGAAATTTACCTCAGCATTTAACCCATCCTCTTGGGGAGCAGTGGGCTGCCATGGTGGGGAGCAATCAGGCATTAAGGGTCGTGCTCCCAGAGTGGTAGTCTGTGGGCTCTGCCCTAACCACTAGGCTGCCACTCCCCTAAGTGGTTAAATGGGCGGGATAATTAATTGCATTTGCAATGTATTCACAATAAAGAAAACATTGAATTTTAAATTGAATCTCCAAATTGTATTTAACAACAATAAGACGCTAATTGTTTCACTTCAGCCCATTAGGTGGCACTAATAGGCTTACTCTGGAGAAGTAGCCTTCAGGGTTATGAAAAGCATAAAACCTTGGAGTGAAACATCAACATGTTTGTGGTTAGTGCAAAGGAAAATCTAAATAAACTTGCAATCCCAATATTGTTTAAAGCAATTTGTAATCAATCATTCAGCCCTAGTGATTAAAGAAGCCAACAAATTTGGAAAATGAATATTTTCTAGAGATGCACTAATCGAGCAGCATTAGATCAGATTTGGCTGATTTTATTTTTTTCAACTTCATCTGATCCGATCCAACCTTGGAAGGTGACATCCTGAAAAATCAGATGTTTTATCTTATTAATTCCTATCATATCAAGGTGTTGTATTTCCACCATTTCCAAGTTCCTAATCACAGACTTGGTGTATTTTAATGCTTTGAAGTTTGAGAACATATATCCTCATTCATAGAAAGGGATGATTTTTCAATTCCTTCATTTTTCCCTCTAAAAACTTGCAAGTTCAGTTCAGTGATCTCGTTTTATTAGTCCAAGATTATAATATTCCATTAATCTAGAGATAATAATCACCAGCCAAGTGTTCCAGTTTAATAATTCCGATTAGAAGTTTTGTTTGAGAAATTTTACACGTCGACCAAAAAGCTAAATCTAACTGGGTGAGAGGGAAGGAATGATATGTTTCAAATGTTGTAATTGTGATGCAGTTCAACAATTCAAATGGGGAATGATTGATTTTTAGATCAGAAAATAATGTAGTAGATTAATAGGTGCACAGTTAGACAGTGTGATATAAATTATATTTATTTGACTCAGAGCTGTTAACCTTTTTATTATGAGAATAGACAAAATATTAAGAAGTTAATAAGACAAAAGTTATTAAACAAAATTTTAAACACTTTTATTTCAGCTTTAGACCATTTATTTGTTGTTTTCAACTAGCAAAAAATGCATTGCAAAAAAAAGTGGCTCACTGAGGAAAAAATCATCTGCTCTGCTGTTATTTGGAGAAATTGATTCATTTACAGAAGGTTTAGTCAAAGTTCATGTTTATAGAGATTTCACTTGTAAGATGAAAAGCAATAAAGGCCAGATGTACCTGTTGCTGTTATTAAAATAAAACGATTAAACAAAAGAGAAGATAAAAAAGTACTGTTTTGGGAGATAACCGGAAATTATTTATGGGACTCTCAGATATGTAGTGTAGAAACCCAGCCCATTAATCCACAACACTCTGTCTTTGAAAGTGATTTATGACTTTTATTTGAAGGCAATGTGGCTCTAAAATGTCCCATTATTACCGTACGTTATTCTTTACATACAAGGAATGAAGGTTAGCTGAGTACAGGGAATTTTTTCATTGCCTTTGCCAAAGGATTCATGCACTTTGAAATGATCACAGGTTACCAAAGAAAATGTCATCCTTAATATTTTCATGATTTATTTAGATTGATTCTATCAAACTTTATGAAATGCTGCGTTAATGTCACTCATGCTGTTATTGAATAAAACAGTTAAACACAGACAGAGGAGCTAGAAGCTGGGTTTGGAATGAGAGGATGTTGATTAGGCAACATAAAACTCATATAGGCAAGAAGCAAAGATGAGCAAAAATGTTATGCTTACAGTAGCAACTGCCAGGAATAGACTGTAGTGCAGAGGTCACGGATTAGTCTACCGCGGTCCGGATCCGGACCCACCTGCTTGCTAATCCGGACTCAACCTGATTTAAAACATTTATAAATTACCACGTTGTACGACGACAGTGTCTAACTTCACTTGCGCCGCTTCTCCTGTTAATATGATAAAGCCCTCCGGAGCGTCCGGGACCAGGCTACAGGTGATACAAATTAGCCAATGAGCTGTCAGTCAGCTACTTTTAGACACAGCAGGCAAATCTGTGCAAGCCAGGCGATGGGAAAGAAGGAGAAGAAAAAGGAAAAAAGAGAGCAGAAAGTATGGACTACTGGAAGAACTGCGGTGAACTGGTGACAGAAAAGTGAAATGGCGTGCTCAAAGATGACCTGCACATTTTGAGTATGTTTGGCTCAAACTACTGCTTTGAAGCAGGATTCTCCACCATGAACATAATCAAAAATAAATATCGATCCAGGCTTTTGAATGAGCACCTTCATAAGTGCTTGAGAATTACTTTGTCTCCAATCAAACCCAGCAGCCTAAAGCCCATTGCTCTCATGAAGCCATAGAAAAGAAAAGAAAAACAAAAAACAGTCAGTTCAGGTGTTTTATAAAATATGTGAATCAGGGAATTGTCTATATTACAAACTGAACGATTGTTGTTTTCTACTTCAAAAAACACTTTAGATTTTAAAATGGAAACATTTTCTATTTTTTTATATATTTTTTTTTTATTTAGAAACCATTGTGTAACATGGATCAGACCCTGCTGATTTTTAATTGGTTGCCCCTGCTGTAGTGCAGGGGTAACCAACATTTTTAAAATTGAATGATTAAAAAAAGAGATGTAATTTCAACAAGTTATGGAATAAAATAAAGAGACAACAGTTTGTCTTTAGATTCTTTGCAGTAATGAAAGGCCCTTTTACTGGGTTGTTTTACAGCACAGATCATCCTACAGATTTAGATTTAACCGCATAAAAGGGTAGGAGTGCAGTTGTTCCCCTTTCATTTTTACTGTTTATATTTCGTAATCATATAATATTGTCATATTATACTCTGACTATAAATCTATTTTTTTCCCCCACCAAATCTGATAAATCATTATTTTTCTTCCTGATGCTTCAAAATAAAAATGACATGCATTTCTTTAAAAAATAGCTTTTATTTCAGTCATCCTCTTTGGGATGTGACCTTTAAGGGGCAATTCAAAATTAAAGCTTTGAAAATGCTTGTTAAATTTGTTTCACAACAGACAAATGAAATGTTTGCAGCTAGTGGTGTTACTCAGTGAGCCAGTTTCAGTTAAATGTACTCAACTAAGAACAGAAAGATGAACAAAAAAAAAATCCATATTTTTAATCTTAAGTTTTTCTCCACAATTAAATCGTGAAAAGAAACTGGATTGCTGCATTTTAACAACCTGAGCTGTATATATTGTGTGGATCAGATTAACTAAAACTATGCTGGCATTAGAGGTCCTATTAAGTCATACAGCCAATTAATCTAATGTTAGATTGGCACTTCAGCAGCTTAACCAGACCTGTTAAGTTTTTAATTTATCCAATTGATTTAATAATCAATTCAATCAGATCAACTGTTTGATAGGCAACTTTTGTATATCTAAGGAAAGTCTGCTGATTGCATCGAGTCAGTGACTTTGCAGGATTTGCTTGCATCATGTCATTGACTCTATGGCAATCACTCATGCCAAGCATGCTTGCAGTGACAGTGGAGAGGAAAAAAAACTCCTATTTAACAGGAAGAAAACCTCAAACAGAAACAGAGTCAGTGTGAGCGTTCATCTGCGGAGAACTTTGATCCTGAATTTCAAGTAAAAGTACGGTAATTGCATGGCCTTTAAACAGTTTGGGACATTTTAGATGATTCCACAGCTTCCATTGATAGATTGACTTAATTTTACGCAAACCAGGGGATGTATTTCAAGGCAACACTTCCAACACATTGCTTCCTTTTAGGGATCTTTTGAAACTGGAATAGTCAGCTCAGATTTTAGGCAAAGTTTTTTTTTTTTTAAAACCTCGACAAGCCTGGTTCATCCAATGGTACTGTTTGGATAAAAGAAATATACAAATTCTCTTCAAATTTAAGTTATTAATTTATCGTCATAAGAACTGGTATTAAATGTTACTGTAATAAACTTTAGCTCATGTGTTCCTGCAGTGAAACAAGCAGCCTTTTTGGAAAAGTTGGATGTGGAGTATTTTATAGAATATTTACAAATTCACTCCTTAACTGCCAAGAGCTTCTAAATGGTGATGGACCTATGAAGGACATTTTTATTTTTTTTTCAGTAGCAGGTACCCAGCTTTCTACTTCAAATGCATACTTTTGAAAACGAATAATTAACATTTATCTTTGTTTTTATTTTGATATTTACATCAGGTCTTCCCAACCAAAGGCAAGTGGGTCTTCTCAAGGGGAAGAGATCCAAGTGGACGGGGAACAACAAGGGAGGTGTCCAGATAATTCTGGGAATCTGCCTCCTCTCTGCTTGAAGCAAGTCTATCCCAAATACACCAAACAGTTCAACCACCTGCGGTTGGTGGAGCGCATTGCTGCTCTCTTCATACGCTTCCTCGGGGTAAAGGGCAACATGCGCCTTGGTCCCACTGCCTTCCGAACATTCATCAGGTACAAAAGTCTGTAGTTTCTCTTACACCCTAATAATTATTCTGTCATAAAAGCTGCTTATATGAAATAAGCAGGCTTCATTTTATTGCACAGAGACTAAAAGGATGAAGACACAGTGATTCCCTGATTAAATTTGCTCTTATCCAGACTTTTGGTGCTTTGCATATGTTAGTAGCAAAGAGTCTGCATGCCAACTAAACGAGTTAAAAGAAAAGGCTTCATACCTAGATTCTATCTGAAGTAGGGAGCATCTTATCCAATCTGTTATTTAAAGATTCCGTTTTAAAGTTCTGAAACCAGGGAGGCTTTTATTAATTTAGGAACTGCAGCAAAACACTGGTTCACCCTTTTTCAGCCTTTTTTCCAGTCAGAACATTTATACTTGCAGTGCAGTATATAGTCTAAGAATTGCTGTCTGATTAAGATGTCATATATTTAATATAAAAAAAAAAAAAGTAAGAATTGGGTATAAGCATGATGTATTTCATCTGTGTTAAAGGTTAAGCTATTATTTCATTTAGTATGCTTCACTACATATTGCACGTTACTGTATTAGACTTAATGCAGTTTTAAAAATTAGAATTTAGAAAATCGCCATCCATCCATCCATCCATCCATCCATCCATCCATCCATCCATCCATGCATCCATCCATCCATCCATCCATCCATGCATCCATGAACTCCTGTAAAAATATCTTAACATTTGTGGTATTTTCATTTTCTTTTTTGTATTATGGCCTAAAATTAGTTGATGAGCCCTGGGGAATTAAAGGCTGGAAGATAATTGAATTAGTAAATTTCTAAAGATTTTCCATTAAAGACCTTTTAAAAATTGTGAAATCCCTCCAACATGCTATAGCAGAAATAATTTATTGGGATGAATGGCATAACTATGAGCTAAGTATTTACTGTGACTAACTATGTGCTCTCTTTCATCCCTTTGACATGTAGACTCTCTGAGGGCTGATCTGGTTAACTGTTCCTTTCATAGACAAAGCTGCCTATGGAGCTAAATTACTCTTACCATTAGTGCTTTTATGCTCCTTTTGGTCTATCTGCTTCTACCTCCTTGAGCATTCAATCGGCCTCCGCAGATGGCCGCTCACACAGACTCTGGTTCTGTTTGAGGTTTTCTTCCTGTTAAAAGGGAGTTTTTTTTTTCCTCCACTGTCACTGCATGCATGCTTGCATAAGGGATTGCCGTAGAGTTAATGACATGGTGTGAGGAATGCTCATCCAGGGGGAGCGAATCCTGCAAAGTCAATGACTCAATGCAATCAGCAGACTTTCCATGGATATACAAGAGTTACCAATCTGAGTTGATCTGATTGAATATTCTCTGTAAAGTGCCTTGCGATAATATGCGTTGTAAATTGTCACTATATATATAAACTGAATTGAATCAATAACATATTTTTTCATGTTGAAAAACAAAAAAAGCCCCTGAAACATATAGATTTTATTCAACAATGAAGCTCCTGTAGCAAAAATAAAACAGGGCAAACCTCATTGTCATTATCTCAGTGTGCATTCACAGGTTGCAAGCCCGTGTGTTTGCAAAACAGTTTGCAGAATGCCAGCTCTCTTATTAAAAGTAATAACCTTCTTCGTAACATAGTGCCCAAGCCTTTTTAAGCCTTTGTCCTGCTTTGGACTAAGTTCTTACCTATCTGTGGTTTCTTTTCCTTTCTGATGCAGCATAAAAAAATCAGTCCCTACTTATGAGGATTCTGCCACATTACAATAGCCTCACACTAAACAAGCTCCTCTTTTAAAGTTGTGTTTTTATTATTATTCTGTTGCAGAGCTTATGAAAAGATGTGCCAGACACGTTCATTGCTCACTATTTGGGTTAGCAAGTACATTTAGCTTACTGGGTTAATGTAAACTTTTGAAGCAATGGCGGCGCAGCAGTGGCCCTCGCTCTTGTTTGTCCCTCTTTGGCATCCTACGCTGTCTCAGCTCAGCTCAGGCTTGGTGATGCGTATGAATCCATGAAAGATGTCATTGTTTCTTCATTTGACTTTGAATACAGATAAAACAACACAGATATTAAGTTAATGTAATGTAAATGTAGCTTGATTAGTCTTCATGGCTGACCAGCCAGTTGGAATTTAAAAATGATTTTGTAATTAAATTAATCAGAGGAAATGGCAACAATAGGTTTTTTAAAGTGAAACTGTATTTTATTCATTGTATGCCAAGAGGCTGCTTATTGGTTGGAGAGAGAGTAATATTTTCTGTAGATGACAGGAAGGCTGAAGACAGAAAACATTTTTTCTTGTGGTTTAAACTTTCATCATTTGAAATGCTAGGTTTATAAATGTTGGCAACAATTTGTACTGGTCTGTTATTGAATTTATATCATCTACCTGTATTAGCTATTTGTGCTAATCACTTATTAAAGCAGTTAGAAATGCCTGTCCTTTGATCTAATATTTGCTCTTAAATAGGGCTGAAACAATAAATTGTGATTAATAGATTATTGGAATCAGTTAACTAATTTAGTAATTGATTAATCTAAGACCAATCTAATTAGAGCAGTAATTATACCAAAATTGTAAAAAAAAAAAAAAT